TCTCCTCTGGGGCAGGCAGGGATCGAACTCATGCGGAAGTGGCTTAAGCTTCTTTGTGCTGTGCTTTAACCCGCTGCGCCACCAGGGAGGGCCAAGTTTGACTTTTTTTTAAAGATTTATTTAGGCATTCACAAACTGGGGTACAGGCCAGAGGTGCAGGGGGAAGGTAGAAGAGGACTCACCACAAAGTGGGGAGCAGTGGGCAGGACAGGAGAGGCTTGCTACACCATGTGCATCATCTCCCTGGCGGGGATAGCTTCATAGCGCTATGCTTTAACCCCTTGTACCAGGGAAGCCCCTTATTTATTTACAGAGGTGAAGGGGGAGGGGCTGGGAGAATTCACCAGAGACAGTGGGGAGAACAGGACTGATGTACTGAAATACAACACTGCTGAGGGGAGCAGTGGGTGAGATAGGAGGTCTGCTATGTCATGCAGGTCACCTCCCTGGCTGGAGGTTGAACTCTGGCTGGGGGATAGCTTCATAGTGCTGCATTTTAATCTGTTGTACCACCAGGGAAGGTGGTTGGATATTTTGATGGAAGTTCAACTTAGTAAAGTTTTATGCTCTTGGCATCTTACCTAAGAATTTCTTCCCCCTAAACTAAATGTCTCTATTTCTTCAAAAAGTTCTATAGGTGTAGCTCTTACATTTTAGTCTCTGATACCTTTGGAAATTATTTTTGCTTGTGGTAGAAGGTAAGGATCTAAATTCATGTTTTGCATCTGATACCAATGTCCCAGCACCATGTCTGCATGTGTGTTTAAATCCACACATGCAAAAGAGACAGGAAGTGTCCATTCTTCCTCATGTGATTCTTCTGTCTTGTGTTTGGCACAAGGTGTGGAAGAATGCTTAAGTGTAGGTTTCATTATTGTCTTTTCTACTCTTTGAGAGGTTGACCCAACCTCTCCAGTCCCAAGCTCGTATCTGTTCCCTTCCTGGAATTCATCTTGGTGGCTCCCAGTGCAGAGCGGCAGGCGTCTTGAGCTCCAGCGCGTGCTTCAGGTGCTCCCAAGGCTCAGTCAGTCCAAACCAGGGACATTTCCTTGATGTCGCTGTTCTAGCACGTGGCCAACTCTGGCCACGTCTGAAAGTGTGTGCTTCGTGGGGTCTTTTGGGACTGATGGCCTAGAAAAGTGGCTAGTTTTTGTGCGATTTGTGCCAGGCATTCTTGTAGGGACACATGGATGCAGACGGTCCCTTGCCTCTTACAGCTGCCAGTCCATATATGGTGGTACAGCACGTACACAGGAAGAGGTGGCACTGAAGTGTCCAAGGGATTGTTACAGACTGCAAAAAGCTGAAGGCTTAGAGGAAAGGAAAAGTATTCCAGGCTGCTTTCAACAAAAATACTCTTGCAGTAAAGGTGTAAGACAACTGCCAAAATCCTCTATACCTTTTATCTTTTAGGATGGAAAGGTCATATCCAAATGGAGAAGCCTTTTGTAAGGAGACAAAGCCTCCAGGTGAGTGGCTTCGCTGGTCCCCAAACAGGGTGATAGTAAAACTGATGTGGCAAAATTTGGGCTCTGGAATATTGAGACTGTGTTACTTCGTGGAGTGCTAGAACTGGTCTCTTGACTATACCATTTGTTCAAAAGAGCATCCCTTCTCCTTGAAAACATAAGTTGACAATTTTATTTGACTTTCATGTCTGTCTTTATCAATACCACACTTGTCTTTTAAAAAAACTTTGAATTAATATTTTACATCATTATTTTTATACAACATACGCTTTCCCCTCTCAGGTGTAGTCCCCATGGAATTCCCACCACAGTTCACCCATGCACCATTGCCATAGTCCCCTGTGCTCTTCCCTCCCCTCTTGATTCCTCCCCCACTCCCTCAGAATACCTGATTTATAGTTGCCTGCCAATTTTTATTATTTCCCTGATCCCTTACTTGATTTCTTCATATAACTCCTCTAAGTAAAACTGTGGTATTTTTCCTTTTCCCTTGTTTCACTGAGAATGATCCCTTTCAGCTCCATCCACGTTGCATGAGTTTATCTTTGATTGGTAAGTAATAGTATATACCACACTTTCTTGATCCAGCCATCTATTTTTGGGCAATTGGGTTGTAGCATATCTGTCTTGATTACCGTAACTTTGTAGTAAATTTTGAAATGTGGTATTTTCAGAAATGTTTTGGATCCTGTGCTTTAAATTCTAGGATCATCTTTCCCCAAATTTCGGAAAGACTGCTAGAATTCTGAATTCATTTATCATTGTGGGTAAGATTGCCATTTTAATATTGAATCTAATTTGTAGGCTTGAAATGTATTTATGCGTACAAGAGCTGGGGGGGGGGGTAAGAGGATTCACCGGAGATAGAGTGGGGAGCAGAACAGGTGGTCTACTGAAATACTGTTGAGGGGAGCCACAGGCAAGACAAGAGAGGTCCACTGTGCCACGTGGGCTGGGTATTGAACTCGTGCTACCACCTAACCCCTGGCGCCACCAGGGAGGCCCCTATATTTATGAGTTTCATTGTGTATAAGCCCTTTACTTTTGTTAAACTGGTCCTTCTGAGAGTGGAATTTTTCATTTTATTTTGACATTGTAGCCTAAACCTTGCAAAATTCGTAGATTCTTGTTCAATGAGCTCCTCCTTCTACTGGGCTGCTTTCTGGCCTCTTTGCAGGGTTATGCTTTAAGCAGCTATCATTATCTCCGGTCTTACAGAGTAACAGATCTAATTTTGTTTCTTGGCTCTGCAAGTAAGCTCCTTAAATGGTCTGAAGAGCTGTCTTAAACTGCTCTGAAGGACTAGGTAACTTGCAATTTTAGATGTTCTTAAACACACTACAAATTTCACTTAAAAATATAGCTTGAATTCAGAAAATTCTGGTACACCCACTTCGGACCCATGAGGTTATCCATACTACTAAGGACCATTTTTATAGTATACTTAGCTTTTTTAAAAAAGTCTTACTTACACATACAAAACTGGGGGGTACAAGCCAGATCAACAAAGTACACTGCTGAGGGAAGCAGCAGGTGGGTCAGGAGAGGTCTGCCACCCAACGTAGATCACCTCCGGGGTCAGGGATTGAACTCACACTAAAGCAGCTGTGGCTCGCTTGCAGTGCTGCACTTCAACCAGTTGCACCAGCTATTGAAGATTTCCAAAGCACATATGTTAGACTGCATTTTTTGATTTAACTTTTTGTTAACACACATAATGGCTGGAATCAAAGGACATGATAGTTTCAATTTAAGACAAATTTTTGTTTGTTATAGCCAGCGATACAAGGAGCCAGGGGGCCTACATAGTCTTTCTTGAGACCACTGAACCATCATCTGGCCAGAGTTTCAGAAATGGTGAACAGAGATGTTCATCTTCTAGTCTCTTCATGGATTACACCTGTGAAGCAAAAAAGGACAATTTGAAGGTTCTGGGAACACTTTGTCCCCCCAATATGCACCAATAGTGGCTTGGCTTCATAGTCAGCTCAAGGGGTAAGCCTTGATGGGTCTAGAAGAGGGAAATACCCCTCTTTCCTGACTAGCTTAGCTTGTAACATTCCTGTAGTTATGTAAGTTGGTTTAAGCTCACCAGAACAATGTGATATACTGTAAATGTGTTTGTTTAGTAAGATTTTTATCAGCATAGGTATTTAAAACTTGTATGTAGTTGAATTAGGTATCATGAACCAAGACTGATTAATTTAATCCCTTGTATGTAAGTCCAATAAACTCTAACCCTGCTATATTTTAGAAGGGCCTGTGCATTGATGCTTATATAACTAACCTGACCTCACACCCCAAGGAAAAAAATCTGTTTTATAAAGCCCTCAGTGGAATAGTGTTATCTGAAAAGGTCACTGGGCATAAGCTGAGAGTGAGTTACAATGCTGGTTCCTTACACTCTGTTCTCCCTTGTAATATGTTTTTTTTCTGTAGAAATTGTAAAAAAAAAAAAATAATAAACTTAAGGCATAGGTGAAATTTTTCCTTTATACTATATAATTCCAAATTGTTTAATTTTTACATCAAGTTTGTATTATTTCTTAAACTTTCGATTATTTGTTTTGCATATAAGAATGGGAATATAGGTCAGGGGTGGGGAGGTGAGAGGATTCAGCAGAGATAGGGGAGCAGTGGCAGAGGTCTGTTGTGCTTTGTGGGTCAGCTCCCTGGCTAGGGGTTAAACCCATGCTACAGTGACCGGTAACAGCTTGAAACTTAATCCCTGCTCCAACCACAAAAACCCTCAATTTTTTAAATTATAAAAAGAAAATACTTCCTGAGAGGATCTCATTTGTAGTTTGGGATAAGTATCTTCAATAACATTATAGCAGTACCTATGTGAGCACCTGAGACTGTGGTGTCATGATTAAGACAGGATGGAGGAGGGGATATTCTGATGGACAGTTCTGAAAGAGGTAGGAAATTGATAGTAGAGTGCTGTGCATCTGGGAGCCAGGGAGGATTCGGCAAAACTAGACTTGAAGTTAACCTGCAGGAGATGGCTAAGGTATTGGGGTTTCTTTGAAGAGGGAAACCGGAATGAGGATGTTGCAATGGATTGTTACAGACGTTTGGTTGAAGTAAACTGCCAATTTCCTGGGAAGAAACTTATCAGAAGGGACACATGTGATCTAGGTTTGAGAATGAAGCTGATAGTGAGAAGTTTCCTGAAATGCAAGAAACAGACCTATGGTAGCCTATAAAGGAGGAAGAGCAACAAGGTAAGACAGGAAGTGACGGGGACAGTGAGAACTACGGGATACAGCATTCTTAGTGAGCGAGACTGTGCAAAAAGTCTGTACTGTGTTTTAAAATTTTCAGGTATGAAAATAAGATTTCAAATGGAAACACAAAGTAAACATAATCCAACTTACTACTCTGGTTTTAAAGATGATGGTCAGACTTTCAAGGTCTTCATTCTTTAAGTGTAATTCTTCAAGCAGGGTGGATATAAACTGTGTAAACACGGCATTTTCCTGAGAATGCTTCTGAATACCAAGAGTTGGGATCAGCCTGAAACAAGCAAAAATATTGAATGCATATTCATGAAACAGGTAGGACCAACGGACTCCCATCTTGAACTTGGCAGAGGGGATTCTGTGAGGATGAGGTCTCTCAGGCTTAAAACTAGAGAGAGTTGTTTTTACTAATAAAGGCTGCAAAAAATCTCAGGAAAAAACCAGATGTATTTAAGCATGGAAAGAAGCCTGAATCTGCAACAGGTTTCGTAATAGCAAAAATGACAAATTCTGATCAGAAAAGAAAATTAATGAAGTCTTCACACTTGGGGAAAGGGAGCAAGAGAAAGTTAATGCTGACAATTGCTTTAAAAAACTTTAGTGATTATATTAAGTCTTATAAATAGATGTAAACTTCATAATAAGTAAATATATTTTCTCCAACTGCTTCCAGTAAACTCCTAAATACTGACAGCATGTTTAGTTTTTAATCATGTTTAGAAATATGAGAATGAAACCTACTTACAAAGATTAAAGACCATTACTTTTCATATTTATCTCCAGAGAACATGCTTCATGGGGTTTTTGTACATTACATATAAATAATGTGATTTAAATCACTAATGCTCAAGGGGGTCTGCTTGTGGCACAAGGGGTTGAGTATCAACAGTATGAAGCTAATGACAGCCACTGCAGCACGAGTTCGAGCCCAGCCAGGGAGTTGACCCACATGACACAGCAGACCTCTCCTGTCTTGTATGCTGCTCCCCTCACTCAGTTGTGTATTTCAGTAACTCTGCCTGTTCTGCACCCCCTGTGGCTCTGGTGAATTCTCTCATCTTACCTCAGCTCTTATATGCAAAAATAAATATACTTAAAAAAAAGGCTTAAGAAAGAAGTCAGAGCAGACTAATTTTGCAGTACTGAGTGTGGAATGGGACACATTTCTTCTTTGCCTAGCCATTTCAAAGAGCAAGAAATAAATGGAAAAAACTCTATCTGAATTCTGCAGACTAGGGGGCTCTAAAGAGTCCAGTGAAGTCTAGAGTAGCTGGGAAAACTATAGTAGCATATTCCTTCCCCACCCTCTTTAATTTCTTTACAAGTAGGAATGCAGAAGTAGGTCTCTCCAGAGATGTTCTTGGAACATCTTACGAACTCACGCAGCTGTGTCCGAGTATCCCTGAACACAGTCTGCAGAGAAGGTGAAACCCAAAAGTCAACTCTGCCTTTCCTCACATTTAGGAATGTCAACATTTAAAATATAAAGGTGTTGCTTTTCCACTCTAAGACAAAACATGGGATAACTCCTGAATAGTTTCGGGAAAAAACTCTTACCCCTATTTAACCTAACAATCCTCAAAAAGCTCTTCCAGATGTTTATTTAAACTTGGTCACTGTCCTGGGTACATTGAGTATATAAATAACTGCTTTAAATCGATAAGGCTCAAGGGGCTTCCCTGGTGATGCAAGTTTAATATTGGCTAAAATAAGGAATTTAGAGTGGGTAGATAATAATGTTAACTCACAGAAAACTAGCTGTGTACATCAGACACATACAAAACCTTTTCTGACTTTCAAGAAGACTGATATTGGGTTCATATGCCAAAATAAAGGCACAAATAAAAAAACAGAATGTCACAAATTCAGTAAGTGGCTGATCATAGCTTTGAAGCAAGGCAATTTATTCCCAAACACTACTTTTGGCTAATATGGTAATCTTCATTCCTTGTGGGCTGTAGAGTGCTCAAAATTTAATCATTACTTGCCTGACTTGATGTATATTGAGCCCTGAGCACAAGCAGCAACATAGCGTTTTAAATTTGTTTTAGAGAAGTACAGATACACAAATATGAAAATGGCAAATGGTTGATGGGGAGAAGGAAGTGCTGATAGAGAAGTCACACAAGACCTAGTGTCTGTTAGGAGACAGGAATATCAAGCTGGGGCCTCAAGATTGCTGCAGATAGCAATCCTTATGCAGCTGGAGCCAGGATTTCCTGACTATGCCTAACACTTGAGCACTAAATGTTGTTGCCTAAAATTATATTTCTACAAAGTTAGCCAATGAGATTTCCTTTACCCTTACTTATTCCCTTGTATTTCCCCTCTAATCTGTAAATGAAAAATACATACCCATCTCCCACTTAACAGAATATAAATGATCACAGAAATATATAAACACTCTAGTTAGTTCCTCTAAACATTAATAATCCAGTGGATTACTTTTTGGAGAGTCATGTAAAAATTTCCTCAAACCTTAAAAAAATGTATAATCAGAATGTACCTTAACATAATAAAAGCCATGAAAGCTTTGCCTCTAAGATGTGGTATAGGAGAAGGTGGTCCACTCTCACCACTGCTATTCAAAATAGTATTGGGAGCTCCAGCTAGAGCAATCAGACAAGAGGCAGATAAGAGGAAAGAAGTAAATAGCTTTCATTATTTGCAGATTACATGATAATATACTTAGAAAACCCTCAAGATTCCAAAGAAAAACTAACTGAATTAGTTTAAGCAAAGTGGCAAGGGATAACATCAACACACAAATTGGTTGCCTTTCTATACACAATGAGGTAGAAGAGAAAGAAATCCATTATACTTACACCAAAAAAAAAATCCCAAAAAACCAAAACCTACGAGGTAAAAGGTCTATATAAAGAAAACTATGAGACACTGTTGAAAGAAACACAAAGAAGTGGAAAAATATCCCCAGCACATGAATTGGAAAAATGAACATTGTCAAAATGGCCACCCTACTGAGAGCAATACACCCATTCTATGCAATCTCAATAAATACACCAGTCGCATATTTCACAGAAGTAGAGGAAATTCTACTGAAAATTCATATGGAATCACAAAAGACCCTGAATAGCAAATGCAATATTGACAAAAATGAAAATACCCTTCCCCTAGCCCATACTTCCAGAGCTCAAGCTCTATCATAAAGCCAGAATAATTAAAATTGATATATAGCCCAATGGAACAAAATTAAGAGTACAGAAATCAACTCATATATATATATGGACAGTGAATCTATGACAAAAGGAGCCAAAATTATATGCTGCAACAAGGAGAGCCCCTTCAATAAATGGTGTTGGGAAAACTGGACAGTTACATTCAAAAGAATGTGGTTTAGTTTCAATCTCACACCATACACCAAAATCAACTCAAAATCAAAGACTTGGATGTTAAACCTGAAACCATAAAATAGATGAGAAAAACATAGGCAAAACAAAAGAACATAAACTGAGACTACATCAAATTAAAAACCGTTTGTACAGCGCAAAAAGCCATACATAAAATGAAGACACCCTATTGAATGGGAGAAAGTACTTACATAGTAGTATCTGACAAAAGACTGATAAAGATATACACAATCAAAACTTTATAAAAACAAATAACCCAACTTTAAAAATGGGTAACAGGGGGCCCTCCCTTGTGTCGCAGCCCATTAAAGCACAGCACTAAGAAGCTTAAGCCACTTCCTCATGAGTTTGATTCCCGCCTGCCCCAGGAGACCCGCATGGCGAGGCAGACCTCTCCTGACCTGCCTGCTGCTCCCCTCAACAGTGTACTTCGTCGATCTGCCTGTTCTGCTCCCCACTCTGTCCCTGGTGAATCCTCTCACCCTCCACATCTCTGGCCTGTACCCCAGTTCTGTATGAGTAAATAAAAAAAAAGGGGGGGGAACAGGAATACACAGACACTTCTCCACAGAAGACTTCATCAGGACCTCCAGGGTGATGCCGAGGTTAAATCTCAGAGCTATCAAACTACTCAGGCTCAGCCACCTTGCCGTGAATTAGACCCCCAGCCAGGGAGCAGACCCAAATGGCGCAGGAAATCTTTCCTGTCTCACCTGCTGCTCCTCAGCAGTGTATTTCAATAGATCTCCTTGTTCTGCTCCCTACTCTGTGGTGAATCCTCTCACCCCCAACTCCGCACCTCTGGCCTACACACCAGTTCTTGCATGAATAAAAACAAATCTTTTTTAAAAAGACACAAAAACAGCTAACAGGCATATGAAAAAATGCTCACAACACTTATTCAAGAATTGGAAATCATGAACACAGTAAGATACCATCTCATACCTGTGAGAAATAAACCCATATATATGGACAGTTGATTTACATGAGAAAGAAGAAACAAGTGAGGATGTGAAGAAAAGGGGAATCCTCCTACACTTCTGGTGGGATCGCACTCTAGTCCAGCCTGTATGGAAAGCAGTATGGAGATGTCTCAAATACTGAATGTGGATCTGCCATGTGACCAAGAAATTCAGTTCCCGGCCTCTATTCAAAAAATTCAGAAACACTAATTTGTAAGGGAACTTGAACTCCCATGTTTAGCTATAGTAAACAGCACTGCAATAAACTCAGGAAACAACAATGTGTCCCAAAACTGATGAGTGAATCAAGAAGATGTGGTCTATATACACAGTGGAATAGTAACTACTCAGCGATCAATGAAGATAATCCCATGACTTTTACAGCAACATATTATATGGAGCTTTAACAGATAATGATAAATAAGTCAGAAGGAGAAAGTCAAACACTGGATAGTGTTAATATTTGTGGAATATAAATTAACAGTCAGATAAAGACAAACTGAAAAATTAATCGTTGATAGCTGATTACAGAAAGAGACACCAAGCTGGGAGGAGGTGGGGAAGGGGAGACAACAGGGAGGAGGGAGGAAAATTGAGCCGTGGTGGCGGGTGAGCTGGTGGTGGATGTACTATGATGGGGATATCCCAATGTTATCTCACTTAAAAATAATAAATTTAAAAAAATTGTGTTTTCTGTTTAAAATTATTCTCTCTAGAAACCAGGCTCATGAATATAAAAATTGGAGGAGGTTTGAGATAAGTTATAAATTCAAAATGAATAATACATCAGGAAAGATGATGAAACCTGAAAAATCAAACTAAGTATGTTTGGCTCATCTATACTAACTTGATTTAATAGAAAATTGTAATTTTTAAAAATAATTTATTTGTATATGTATTACACCAGATGTATAAAATCATAATATTTTATCAGTCTATTATGG